CCTGGAATGCTTTGCAGTCATGTTCTGCTAGACAGGTGTTGGTTAATTCATAAATGAGAGGCAACCAGAGAAGTTTTAATAGTTTGGAAACAATAAAATGAGAATACATCTCTCAAATGAGATTGAATGGGTACTTGCTGAATTTGATTCTAGAAAGGTGATAAATCAAAATGCTACAGAAACAACTGAAGAAATGAGCTCAGTCATTGTGTATGAGGTTGGGGAGCAGGAGGGTGGGAGGATGAGAGTGGTCAGATAAATTTTAAACTGTAAGCTTGCTTAGAAATTCTTCATATATTCATTCTCTAGAATTCTATGGAATTCCTATTTCAAAGTTTTTACAAAATTAAGAGACAAACTATTTTTCCATGGTACCCCAAGGTGATCAATACAAACCACCAAGTAATCAATAAAATGTTTAGAATGCATTTTATGAAATGCATGAAATTTCAGGCAAAGAACAACAGTGCCAAAAAGAATGCTTCAAATAAGATATTTGTACATATGTGCACATTAATGTGTAGACTGATATACATAAAAGGAAAATTATTTTTAAATATTACTTTAATATTTAAAAAGAGCCTTTGAAATTATAGCTCACTTTTTAGTTTTTACTTTTATTTTTTTTTTAAAGTTTTGCCATAGGGTACTTGAACTCACTGGAGAGAGAGAAAGAGAGAGGTGGTGACAGGGAAATTGAGAAATCACCCCCAGGGTAGATGGCCATGCCTCATCCCTTCTCCTCCTTTCTTTTCTTGGGATTTTAGGCTTATATGCACATGGGCCAGGCATGATTTCCAAGCTGCCAGGTTTGGGACTTGAACCACAGTCAGCCATATGGGAGTTCCACACCATAACCACTACACCACCTGCTAGCCTCTTGTTTTTAATTTTAATTATCTAAATATTTTATCTCCCTTGGGTTTCTAGTGTGAAATATTCCTTATCAAATGGTTTATTATATCTCTGTCCTCTGTCAGCATAACTCATGAGATCTGAAGTAGCAAAAGGATGTTCAGTGGAACAATAAATAGCCAATATGGGCAAAACGAAGCATTGCTCTCTGATAGTGATAAGGACACCACATTAGAAACTTATTGGGTAGGAATTTGCTTTTCAGAGCTGATGCCAACGTATGAACTGGATACCAATGACAGAATCCTCTTAAAGCTTTAAAATTACATAATTATTTTTCCACCAAAAGGACCATTTTTATAACACCATGAAATTTTATTTTTACTTAAGCAGTTATTTCATAAGTATCTTAAGCTTTGTGCCTAAAGAATTCTGTTTTCAAGATTCCATGTTTCTATGACACATTTGAAAGTAAAACTTTAAAATATTCAGCAGCTCTAACTTCAGAAGAACAGTATGCGTAAATTTTAGATGCAAAGGATCTTAAGAATCTTATCGTCTAAACTTTTAACTATCTTTGAGGACCAGCACTGTGGTCTAGTGTTTATAGCAACTGAATTCCACATGATTGACTGCATAAATCCTGGCCCTGGCAGCTTGAAAAATATGTCGGACTTGTGGGATTGTGTGCATGCATGCCCCAAATCCCAGTAGGATAGAAAAATGAAGGAAACGGAATTACTGTGTGACCATACCCTGGGTTGGAGGGTGTTTCCCCTCTCCCTCTCCCTCTCCCTCTGTGAGTGTACACCTTCTCTGGCAAAAAAAAAAATTTTTAATTAAGGGACCAGCAGAAGGCGTAATGGTTACAGTGCTGGACTCCCACATGGCCAAGCATGGTTTGAGTCCCAGACAGGTGGCTTGAAACTCACACCAGGCACATGTGTGTGAGTACCCAAAATCCTGAGAGAAGACTAGAGGAGAAGGGATTGTGGTGTGGCCATTTCCCTGGGGCTGATTTCTTTTTCTTTTTTTTTTTTTTTTGAGGGTTTTTGTATTGGGGGCGTG